TAATTATTTTTATAATATTTTGACAAGATTGGTAAACTGAGAATGAGAAATTATTGTTATGGTGATAAGTTAATTATTATTTAGTGATATCCTCCAATAAAGAAATCACTGTGAAATTATTATAACTACAAAAAATATTGATACAAATTTTTTATTGAAGTAGAAGTAATTTAATGACAACATTTACATTTGATAAAACCTTAAAATAAATAAGAATAATAAGTTTAAACAACTTCTGAGATAACATTTTTCTTTTTTTCGGAGACGTACGGAATACTATTTTTCTTTGAATGTTTACGAATATTCTCTTCCCTGAAAATAAACAAAAAAAATGAATAATTGATAAATCAACAAATACTAGGTGATTTTTCTATCAAACCACTCATTAACTCAAAATCTATTAACATTTTTGAAAATATTTTTTTACTTAATTATTAATTTCCATTCGAAATAAAACATTTTCAAAAAGAATATATTTTTAAATTATTTTAATAACAGCATACATTTTAGATTTTGAGCAGAGCAATGAGAGAATTGATTTAATGTGATTCTTTTATGAGTAAATGATAAATTGTTAATTCAATCTTGAGAATGGTTTTAGATTACAAATTGGATTTAGTTTTTACTCTAGGACAAAATGAAAAACTACCAGTACTTTTATTTATATTTAGGAAAAAGTAAGAAAAATAGTGAATTTTCTGCTAATCGTATTTATGCATTATTTTAAGTTAAAACATGGATGAAATTAATTATTTAAATGTTATTTCATAACAGAAAATAATTCGAAAAGATCATTTTTCATTTACAATTATGTATCATTGAATTCAAGTTTAACATAACCATAATAGTGACCCACATGACACCTATTATACAATAGAGTAGTACTCATTTGCCTACCTTCTTGATTTCATACCAATAAACCATATCATTTAAGCAGAATATTATTCTAAGTATTTTGATACACGAGTCATCCTGTGTGTAGTATATATAATTATATATAAACAACTTACTTTCTTTTAAGTTTTTTATTGGATTCCAATTGTTGATTACGTTCATGATAGATATGTTTAGGAACTTGTCTATGTCTAGCAATCCTTTTTACTTGTGGATGAGCAGCAAACTTCTCTTTCAATGTAGCATTATATTCTAAAGCTGTCCTTTCACGTGGTCTTAACTAAAATAATATTTTAGTAAATAACCGTTTCATATAAACTATTTTTATTTAATAAAAAACAATATAATAACATTCATATTTCTATGAAATGCTCTAGTCTATGTACATTAATAGTAAAAAAAAAATCATCAATTACTTAGAATTTAAGATCTTCTCTTTAGAAAATTTTTATTTGTATTTATTTATTTTAAATTATACTTACTGTTCCCAATTTTTCTGAAGCATTTGCTTTCCAAATTCTTATATTCATTTCATCAGATGCACTTAAAACAAATTTATTGTCTAATGACCAGATTACACTAGTCAAATGTTGCATACGTTTAGTATGATAGATTTCTCTTGAATGTCCCTAAATTTAACATAAATATTATATAAAAATTGTTATTTTCAAATAAAAAATAATGATTAAAAAGATAAATACATGATGGCTTTCAAAAATTCTGATAGTTTTATCATAGCTTCCAGTGACAAATTCTAAACCAGTTGGTGCATAATCTATACAAGTAACAGCAGCCACATGATCTTTATGTACATTTATTGGAGATTCTAATTTCCGTGTGTCATAAGAATAACAACTAAGTATATAAACATTAATTAATCAATAACAATTGGGTAAAATATGTACATAATATAAAATTAGTAATTACTTATAGTCTTCGTTGGCAGCAGTAAACACATATGCTTCCATTGGATTCCATGCTAACTGATTGGTTTTGAGTTTCATTATTACTTTACGCATTGGTTTTACTTCTCTGGTGTCATAAAGAATTATACTGCGATCACTTGCACATGATGCTATGGATACCGAATGTTTATTATAAAATTATATTATTTACTATTTAATGTATTATACAATTACAAAATACAAATACACTACCTAAGACATGCGTATCAATTTGATTAAAAGCTAAATGATGTAAACTATCAACACCCCATTTTAGAATTGATGTTGGTTGACTTCGAGTAATGTCCCATAATTGTACTACATCACCACAAGTTGCAAATACTTTATTGTTTAACCATTGACAACTAATACCATATAAAACAGACTAAAATAAACATAATTTAAAAAATGTAATAAATTAAATTTATTCTACATTTGTACATACTTGAGATATGAATGTATGAGATGGCGTGTCAAATTCTTCTGTATTCCAAACTTTAATGGTAGAATCATCTCCAACACTAAACAATCTTGAGCCATCAGGATTAAAACATAATCCGCGAACAAACCGGTCATGGCCATTTATACTATTAATACATTTTTTTTTTGTTAAATTCCAAAGTCGTACTTCACCATCATAAGAACCACTGGCTAATGTCGATAGAGATTTAGGATGTTTAGCCATGCAGAATATACCATCACGATGTCCATCCAAGTTACCAATAAATGGTTTAGCAAAAACCCGTTCTAATTTCACTGCATTAAGAGCACGGACATATTCACGTGATGATTGAAAAGGATGAAGATTTGGATCATAATTCCGAGGCACTGAAAAATAATTAAAAATGGATAATTAAATTTTATATTACTCCCTTGCAAAATTAATTTTATATTTCAATGCAATCAAGCTTATAAATAAGCTAAAATAATTAACCAAACAATATATTATTATAAATAATAACCTTATTCACCTAAACTTGGTGAAATAATAATTATATTATAATCTATAGGTATAGTTTTTAGTATAATAAATTAGTTATTTTACTATATTTACAATCTCACTACTAAAAATACAGTAACAGCCAACAGGCAACCAAAAAACTGATTTAGAATGGAGTGTCATGAGGCTTAAAAGTGGCACATGACAAGTAGACAAATTAAACTCTTACAAAGACAACCAAGCATAAGAGACAAGAGTTTAGAGGAAGTATTAAAGATGGATTATATTATATTTTCAACATGATATATATGATTAATTTTATACAAAATGAACTGCCATATTTTTTCATACAGCCAAAACAGAAAAACACAATAGCTCAACCTCTATTTTGGTAATATAATTAATAAGTACTGGTTTATTATAGCCTCGCCGGCTGCCACAGCAAGTGCAAACTTTATAGCCCCACCATCCATATAACAATAAACACATCGTATAAATATAAAATAATTTGATGGAAAATACATATTTCATAGCATTATTAATAATATAATAATATTACCGATATTATAAAATAATTCAACGAGAAATACGTATCATTACTATTAAGTACCTAATAATCGTCAATCGCCCTAATGAGGTAACAAAAAATGTAGAGAAACAGACAGACATTTTTAGACTCTTATATAGTTGAATTTATGTGGTGATCAAAACTGAATAACAGTGATCTGTTTGACACTATTTAAAAAGATGTAGCAAGATTTTGGAAATAACAGAAACCATAAACATTTTTATACATTTTTAATGTTATCATATTTTTTTAAATTGTTTTCATATTATATTATCAAGTTATTAGATTAATAAATATTAATAAATAAACTCATTATTTTATATTAATTATACAATGTGTTTATTGTTATATGGATGGCGGGGCTATAACAAACCAGTACCAATTAATAAAAAATGTTTAATGAAATTTACTATTCAGTAAGGAATTTATCATTTAGATAAATAAATAAAACAGTACCTGATACTAATAAATAATTGAAAATGTTTATTCAAAATATCTTTATTTTATGGCAATACAGACATCTCTAATTACAATCTGGGTGTTATGATAATTTATGTCCACAATATTCAAGATATTTTATATTGGAATTATTCCCAATGGTTTTTAAAAACATTTTTTCATAATAATTGGGATAAAAAAATTAAGCACTATATCTTCATACATAAAAGACTGAACATATTTATATTTGTAAACGCAGATCACTTTACAAACTACTTAGAATAGAAATTAATTTAAAAAAATACAAGTTTTACATAACATTAAATTAATAATAACCTACTCATTGAATTATTACCCCCATAATATGGATTTTTTCAAAAAAACAAATCTATAGGCTTAACAGCCAACATAAAAATTAATACTTAACTCACCTTTCTGAATATCCCGTTTCGTCTCTCGCAAATAATTATCCGGATTTCGGCTTAATACCTTGACTTTCATGATCAAAAATGTCGGTGTTCAGGTAGTACACTAGTACTTACTATGATAATTAATATTAAATTCACAATAATGATTATTAGACATCAGCATTAGCCACGAGGATGTCAGAGTCAGACTTCAGTTACTCTGCTAACTGCTTATTCAGTTATCAAGAGTTTAGACTGTTTAGAACTTAAGAGTAATAATACTCAAATACTGTATAACACGAGTATAACAGGCATGAGGCAATCGACTGTTGAATGTTGATCTATTGTGATAAATGATAGTGCGATGTGAGAATTAAATAGCTATAGATACTATACAGGTTATTCAACATCCCAATAGAGAATTTTTTAAGCCCAAAACATTAACTATAATATACTGTAAGAATCACACCTAGCGCCGTAGTGGCCATTAATGTAGATTGTAGTGATTGTACCAATAATTGTAATTAAATTTTAAATATTTCATATTTTCATGATATGTCTATTCTATTCTGTGATCATAATTCAAATTTCTTATTTCATTTATTCATGAAAATAGATCAGATTATATAACTTTATTATTTAAGTTATTGCTATATATTTTATATTTCATATAGTCTGTAACAATAGTTTTCTATTTTCAATTTAATTTAGAAAAATAGTTTTCTTAACATATACTATGGTTTTCGTGTTTTGACTGTCATCAATGAAATACATATTGAATCTGTTTAGTGTAAGAATAAATTACTAACTAACATAAAATGGATTCCGACAAACAAAAATTTGCTATGTTATACGGTAGTTAATCAGAAAACACACGTCGGTAAGGTGTCGTCTTAAGAATTATTATTTCTAAATAAGAATTATAATTAATTACTTGCCAAATACTGACCAGAACCTTTACTCGATGTCCACGTAGTAATAATATCATGTTGGTTAAAACGATGAGCATAAATAAAAGACTTTCTATTAAGAATAATATCAATTTTTTCTCCCTGCATTTTGGTTATTTTGTAGGACACTAAATTTACTGGTTGCGCTTTGTTTGCAATCAAGGGTACATTATTTATTGGACACTACTGTCAGTATTAAATGAATTAAATTTAAAATTAGATTTTCGTTATAATAATAGCATATTATAGTATGTATTATAGTTATTAATTATAAATTATAAGCCAATCGTTTAAAATCGTACACAAATTTGGTGCCAAAATATATACCTTTTTTAGATAACATATTATATGCACTGAGAGTGGTGGTTATGAATTTTTTTCAAAAACGATAAGTCTTATAGCATTGAATAAATGCCTTATACTCACTTATACTGAGTATAAGGTCTATGTTTTTTCTAAGCTGAAAAACTGATTTTTGATAATAAATAGGTAGTACGTTTCACATAATTTTAATACGACGTTGAGTAACCTGAATATTTTAAATAGTGACAATAAAGTACAAGTTATAACTCACGGAATAAGGTCAAGACTCTAAGATAAATAATATATTTTTATAGTCTGTGTTACTAGTGTTACTACCATAGGGCACAGATCTATTTATTTACCATTTACTACTTAGTATTTAATATTTTCTAATTTCTAGTTAGTGGCAATATTATTCAATAAACCTTGGTAGACGGTGGTACATGGTGTACATATTGTGGTCATTCACGTGCGAATACATGGTGACCAACATGCGGTCACTGATGAAAATTATTTATACGGGATATTTGATTTTTCTATCAAAAGACATGCTGTTGATCCGGCCGCGTTATCTAATATGAAAACATTTGATATTAACATCCGAGAGGATTCGTCATATTATTTGACAATTTATCCATAAATTATATAGAAAAAATTCGCCCATGTATATTTTAATATCGTTTTTTAATCAATTAAATTAATCATAGTTAAATGTCTGTTTAGTCTTTAATCGTTTGTTCCGTTTGTCAGTAAAATCATGATATTGTTAGAAACAAATAACCGCGTTGTAGAAGAATCAATCAGTGTGAGAATTAAAAATGCTTTGGCAGGGTATGTCATGTTATTCTTTTAACTTTATACTAAGTCTACTGTTGATATTTTATTTATTGCATTTGGTTGTAGAAATAAGCCGGAAAACACAAATATATTCATATCGGATTATGCTGGTGTATTATTTCACATTTCAAATTTAGAAGGCCAAAAAAATCAGCTTAGAGTGAGTATGATGCTTAATACTGTTATTAAAAAATGGTTTATAATATAAATGTATTATTTGGCAGGTAAGCATAGCTTTAAAATTCTATGCTGAACTACAACAACACGGAGCAACAGAGCTATTAAACCGTGTGTACGGGTCATACGTCACAGAACCAGAATCGGGTTTTAATTTTTCTTTGCTAGTTGACCTAGAAAAAATTCCAGATGACTGGGAAGCGTTAGTGAAAAAAATTGGTCAATTTAAACGTAATTGTTTTGCTTCAGTATTTGAAAAGTATTTTGACTTTCAAGAAAAAGGAGAAGAAGGCCATAAAAGAGCTGTGATTAATTACCGAGAAGATGAGACTATGTGAGTAACAAATTGATTTTATGTTTGAAATATTTATTAAATTATTCTTATGTATTAGGTATGTGGAAGCAAAAGCAGATCGTGTAACTGTTGTATTCAGTACAGTATTCAGAGATAGTGATGACATAGTTTTAGGTAAAGTCTTTATGCAAGAATTGAGAGAAGGCAGACGAGCTAGTCAAACTTCACCTCAAGTATTATTTACACACAAAGAACCACCGCTTGAACTTCAAGATACTAATGCTCGTGTTGGTGATGAAGTAGGATATATAACATTTGGTAAGAAAGTTTTTTTGATATTTATAAATTACATATTACGTAAAAGAAAATAATTATGCTATTGGAAAACAATGAACATTTTATTTTTCAATTAATTTAATTTTAGTTTTATTAAATCAGAGTATATTAAAAAAAAAATAAAATAACTAATTTATCTTTAATAATTTTAGTGTTGTTTCCGAGACACACTAATCGTGCAGCTCGTGAAAATACTATTAATTTGATTCATATGTTCCGTGACTATCTACATTACCACATTAAGTGTACGAAGGCATACATACATTCTTGTATGCGAGCAAAAACAACTGACTTCATTAAAGTGCTCAACAGAGCTAGACCAGAATCTAAAAAATCTAACGAAAAGAAAACTATTAGGTAAGTAAAAATTAAAAATATAGCTTTAACGTTTATTTACTTAGTAATTCTAATTTAGAACATAGAGCTTAAAATATATTTTGTCTCTTTTCTCATTTATGATATTAGCTCTTTAGTTTTTAGTAATTTTATCTAACTATATAGTTTTGTATAATTTATTTTAAAGACTTACCAACTTAAAAAACTTCAATCATTTGTTAAGATTAATTTATGATAAAAAGTTATTAAAATGTCTTGTTAAAAAATAATCTTATCAAAGTATATGGAGGTAAAACAACAAATTTAAAATTTAATTATATGCCCTATAAATATAAATATTTTACAATATACAAAGATAAGCACATAGGTACAAAATAATTTAGTCAATATTACTATATAATATATATATATATATAAACAATTAATAATTTGTGAAACAATCTAAATTCATAAATATTCATATATTTCATACTAAGTAATAATAATTAAAATCAAATGCATTGCTATTTATTATATAAATACATAAGAGAATGGGTGAAAAATGTAAAAAGTAGTAATTTATTTAAGAAAAATATAATAGTTAATTATATTATTTAGAGATATTGACCAATTAGATTGCCTAGTTTATAAATTTGTTAATAACACAAATTAAATAACATATTTTAGTTATTTTATATAATAATAATCATTCCTTGAATCTGCAAGAATATAAAGGGGATGCAAATATATATAACAAAAGGAATTCTAAAATATTTTTTAAAAAGTTGTAATCCACCCCTTTTCAATTCAAGTACTAATCAATCATAACAATTTAGATAGAGGTTAAGTACTCTATTGAAACAAATTTAGAGAAGTGTAATATTATAATATGTTAATTTGACATTATGTATTATATTATTTTGCTTGATAATATTATTGATTGTTGTTATATTTCATTAATTGCTGAAGTAAGTTATTTATGTAGTAATTTAGCCCACAGTTGGCAAGGAATGTCTTGTAATAATAATAAAAAAAAATGTAGTAAATTAGTATTGGTACAAGAACAATTGATACCAATCAGTATGTAAGTAACATAATTAACTGGTAAAAAATTGCATATACCATAAATAAATCTATTCTAGATTTTAATTAAAAACACATATTTATTTAGTTTTTGCTGTACTAAGTAATTTTTCTTTTCAGAAAATTAAATTTACTAATATAATAACTGTAATTATTAATGTTTTAGTGGCAGATCATTCATTCGAAAGGACTGAAAAAAATATTTTACCTTTTCAAATATTGTATAATTAATAATAAATAATGAAAACATTGAATTTATCTTAAATTAATGTTAACAACATTGGTTTTTAGTTTAGTATGTATAAATATTGTTAGCTAATATAACTAACCATTGTTTTAAATTTTTAAATAGTAAAAATAAAGTTGTGTATTCATCTTTCAATTTTTTTTTTAAATTTTATTATTATTATTATTATTATTATTATTATTATATATATTATATATATCATTTATTTAATTAAAACAATAGTATTGCATTTATATTAATTTAAATTACAATAATAAATTATTTATTTATTTATAAGTTGTTATTAATTAGACCAATTTACAATTAAATATCATCTGCAAAAGGATTTTTACTTTCATCATACTCATCTTTAAATGGATTTTTATTATCATCGTATTCCATATTATCACCATCTTCATCAAATGGATTTGTATTTTGTATAGCATGTACGGATAATATTGGACTGAGTCTTAATGGCGTTTGTACAACTGGAACCACAGGTTTAGGTGTTAATACTACTGGAGATGATACTAATTTTGACTTAGCTAGTTGGTTTTCAACTGTAGATAAATCATCAAATAAACATCGACCAAAGTATTCAGATATTAATGAAAAACAATCTGTAGCTCGTTCTAGCTGATTATGGAATTCTGTATTATAATCTTTTATCTGGCCCTAAATAAAAATAAATTTAGTATAAAATTATTTATATAAGCATATATATATTATTAATAAATAATAATTGTCAGATAACTCAGTCAATGGCACAACACTAAACAATGGTTCTCAACAATAAGTGTTGTTAACCTACCATGGACATTTAATTTAAAGATCTTTATTAGTGTAACATACAGGATAAGGCAAAATACCCTCCTAAATTTACCTATATATCTTCCAATGTTTACATGAGCATTATACTAAGTCTTTTGAGATCTGATAATGAATGTCTTATTTACGCCGATGATATAGTCATTTTTTCATCTTGTTATAGAATACTTATACGCTACTCTCAAAGATCTAAATATATTTTTAACCAACATATCTTTGGAAATCATTCCTGAGAAATGCAAGTCTATCATTTATACTTGGCGTTGATATGTAAATCATCCTAACATATATTTAGGTGACAATAATATTCCCTTTGCTTCCGACTTCACTTAATTAGGCATCACTCTTGACTGGCTACCTCACATCACATTATTTCTGTCTTTACTTTTTGCTGGTCAAACTTCCTTCAGACCATGTCAACACATTGTAAGGGTTACATCCTTCTAGTCTATTATCTATAAATCACTAAATCATACAGTTAAAATTAGTCTACGGTTGCTTTTTTTCTGTAACTGAATAAAATTAATTTGCTTCAAACGATATGTCTCGAAAAGTCAAAAACTATTTTAATCATAAAGTTTTCAATACCTACTATTCTATTTTTTTCACTATAAACTTAAATAAATGCCCATTTTCTCAATCGTAGTTAACTCTTTTTTCAATCTCCACCAATACATAATCGAATCAAATAAAGTGCAACTATAACTTTATGAGCAACCATACAACTCTCTTATAAATATCTTCCTTCCCCCATGAAAACCAGTTCTCACATTTGTTCACTATTGAACTTAAAACAATGTTTTACTCTATGGTTAATAAATCTTTTTCAAGTTATCTTAATCTTAATTTTTTCAATTTCACAATCATCTATACCAATGGCTCTGTTTTACTCCTATCAGCTGGATATTTTTTTTACATGCTCAAACTACATGTTTCTTTTTCTAACAATCTACCCTCTTAATTTTCCTCTTATACCACAAAGTTTTCTGCTATTTTTGAAGCCTATATATTCATCTCAAATTTAGCCCTTAATAATTATTAAATCTTTAACTTTAACTTAATGTCATGTTTACAATCTCTTGAATCAAATACTTTTAATTCAAAATTATTGCCCCCTTGCCTTTCATATTACAACATATAAAAATTTATTTAATCAGTCAAATCTTTTGATATTCAACTTATATGGGTCCCAAGCCATATCCGCATACATGGTAACGAAGTGACTGACAGGCTAGCCAAATCTAACTAATACAATTTCTTTCTATTGCTTAATTATCTTGTAATAATTTTACCCCTATACTATGTTGTCACATATCAACCTTTGGTCCAACTACTGGAACAATTTTTCAATCAAATATAAAACCATCGACCCATCATTCCTAACAAAAAAACTCGATTTAACAACTTAGATCTATCAAGATTTACTATTGTTCACTTCAACTATTAATGCATAGGTCATTAGCTGCTACCCAATCAAGCTTGTAAATTTCGTTTGAATGACTCCCTTTTCTGCACACTACACATAACTGAAAGCATCGTGTAACTTTTTACATTTAATCTTAGATTGACCATCATTACATACCGAACGTATAGTTTTACTCAACTACCTGAAATTAATTAACATTCTCCTCAACTTCCTCTCTATGCTCAATATTAAATCTAAAATGGTTATTAATAAAATAATTAATTTAGTATAAGAAGGCAAGAAGCTGGTTGTCATTTAATATTGATAATATCATTATTTGTGTATATGTATAACTGTCATAATTTTGTATTACTAAGAATTGTATTTCCTTTCATTTTGGCAAAATCTGTTTTATCTAAGTATTTGTTGAATTATCATACTCATTAATTTAAAGCTAATAAATAAAGAAAAAAAAAATTGTTATCAGACAATTACTTTTATGGGTAAATATAATGTTTTACACATGAGACATGACATAAAATCAAACCGTTTAACGAGCTGTATCCTGTATCTAAAATACATGGTATTTACTTAATTTGATTAAAATAATTATTTGACATATAAGTTACATAAGTATATCTCTAAAATTGTGATATATTTCTTCAAATATTCATGTTATTTTTATAATACTAATTATTGTTTCAGGATAGTTTATAGGAATGATTAAAAATAAAAATATACAAAAAAGTGAAGATAAAGAATATTACACTCAGAGCCGCGTTTAACGGGGAGCAAAGGGGAGGCAATTGCCCCAGGGCGGCAAATTTTGGAGGATCAATATAAAATAAAAAATTTATAATTATAATTTTTTTTGTGTGACTGTATAACTATAATAAGTACATATTATTTCGTTTATAAATACCACGAAAAAGCCGCTGTCTACCGCTGCATGTCACAAGGCGGGCATCGCCCATTTGCGCCAAATTAACCTGTATATATTACACGATAACATTTTACAGTTAACTGTTGTATTATTATCATGGCACGAATGTTGTTGCATTTGCAACTTTTTTTTTTACTTTTCAGTTGCTAAGTAAGTTTAAAATGCGTGTCATGTAAGTACGAACTAAAAATCTAAAAACTTCAAGTGCAATTTTCTGCGATTTTTATTGAATTTACTCATTTATAAAAGTAGGTTACACAAACTATTGTCAAAATGCACATTTTTATTCTAATAATTAAACAAGTAGTTTTGAAAAAATTATAATACAAGTAAAAATTATTCTATAATCATCAATTAATATAAAAATTGTTTACAAAAGTTAAATATCAAATACATAATACATATACCTAATAATTGTTCAATAAGATCGCTAATAAAATAATACACAAATTGTTCATAAAAGTTAAATACAAAATACAAATTTATCTAATCTTTATTATAATTAAATGCTACAAATTTTTTCTTATATTATAATTTTTTCAAAACTACTTGTTTAATTATTAGAATAAAAATGTGAATTTTGACAATAGTTTGTGTAACTTACTTTTATAAAAGAGTAAATTCAATAAATATCGCAGAAAATTGCACTTAAGTTTTTAGATTTTTAGTTCGTACTTACATGACACACATTTTAAACTTACTTAGCAACTGAAAAAGTAAAAAAAAAGTTGCAAATGCAACAACATTCGCACCATGATAATAATACAACAATTAACTGTAAAATGTTATCGTGTAATATATACAAGTAAATTTGGCGCAAATGGGCTATACCTAAAACGAATACCTTTTTTTTGGCGCAAATGGGTAATTCCTCACAAGGCGATAAGAATTAAGAACTTGTTCTAATAACTGTACTGTTATCGTATAAACTATTTTCATTATTCCTGTACGTTTTTTCCTCAAACATATTCAGTTACAAGTAAATCGTTAGTATTAATAGTGTGTTGAATATAATTTTGAATTGTAATTTTTGCAAGGGGGGGCATATTTTAATTTACCTCGGGGCGGCAACATAGCTTAACGCGGCACTGATTACACTATATATGTAAAGTTTTAACTAATTTTTTTAATTTTAGATCAAAAAAATTATTCTTTTTTATTACTTTAAATTGTTGTTTGATAAAATAAAATTTTTTTTAGTTGTATAATTCTTAAATATTTCCAATTATGAATTGATAGTTTATTTTTATACTAATAGAATAGTACTAGCAAAAACAGTTTAACCCCTCAAATAGTTAACCAAGTTATAAGACAACAACTGTATTTTATTAAAAGTACCTGAGTTCGTATAATATCCATTATTTGTTTATTGTTAGGAGTACATGCTGGACAATCATCATCGCTTTCTGAAAAAGCTTGGAAACAGCTAAAATAAAAATAAATGTAACAGAAATCAATATTAAATAAAACAATAACTGATAAAAGTTTATTGCTCTTATGATAAAATATTAAAATAATAGAGAAACATAAAAATGAGATATTAATGATATGAGTGTAGTAATCCAAACATTTACTAACTGTTGATGGTATGAGTGTTGACACATAAAATGTATACTGGGAAGTTCTAATTGGTTATTGCAAGCACTACAACGCAAACCTTGAAAGACGACCGCACTGAAAAATAAATATTCATTTTAAAATTGGATATACATAATAAGTAACTATTAGATGTGACTGATAAATACCAATTTTTTAATTTTTCTATGGTGTGTTTTAAGTTTTCTGTATCTTTTTGATATTTATCAACCATTTCTTTATCCTTGTCAAGAATTTTTTTTTCAGCGCCAAACAAACTAGTTAGAT